TCCTCCCTGTTGGAGGGTGTCGGAATAGACTCTGAGAAGCAGAGGGAGGTCTGGGGGTTGCGCAGGAATGAATACTTCTGTTCCTTTGAGATACAGGCTTCTTCCTAGGAGAAGGACCACCCACCAAGGTCTACCCTGGAGACCAGCTCCCATTGTTACTTTTCTGGGAACCTCACTCAGCGTATGCTCATCTGCCTGCATTTCTGCTTCAGAAAACAATCCTGAGCTCCTTAGTCTCCTCCCAGGACTTCCCAGTGGGGGAAAGTCACCCCTTCTTGCCACCCCTGATGTGCACCCATTCCCCAAGAGCTTACAAACTTCTGGTACATGTCAAATGCCAGCTGGTGCAGGTGATGGGCGCGGAGCATAGCATTGTTAAAAAGCCAGGATAAGGGAATGGTTGGGAAGGCACTGCCCTCTTGAAGCGAAGGTAGGCACAGCAGGGCAATAGCCAGAATCAGGCATGTCCAGGAGCCTGGGGAGAAACCGGAGGGCAACAGAGGGAATGGAGAGCAAGAGGCCAGTGCTCTCCGTGCTACAGGAGCTGTTTTTTTTCTCTCCCTCCCTCCAGGGACCAAGAACATTCTGAGATTGGCCAAATATCTGGGCTGAGATGCCCCCGTCCCATCTACAGGGCTCCGCCTCTCCCCTCAGGACACATCGTGTGGAAAGGGATTTTAGGGGCGCTTACCTGCAGCCATTGCAGCTAGGTGAGCTGTCCACAGGACTCTAAGTGGTTCGGGGAGTCGGGCCTTGGGATCCTGGAGCTGGTCTCTTGTGGGCCTTTTTAATACCCTGGCCCCTTATCTCTTGCTGCTTGACCCCACCTGTTTCTCTGTACGTTTATGCATGGGGCCACTGATGTACCTGTGCTAATGGCTAATTTAGAAGCTCCTCCCACACATGCTGGGATCATGCCCCCCGGCTTGTCATCTTTCCCTTCTCACCGTTACCAGCATCGTAAGAGTTGTGCACAGAGTGTCGGCCAGAGATACCACCCAACTTGTCCTCTCTTTAAGGAGCAGGTGGGTGCCCTCTGGCAGCATGCCATGATGGCCAACCTGAACACGGGGAAGGATGTCAGGATAGCCAGTCCTCGAGACCCGTACCGACCCCATCCCACTCTCTATCCTGTCCCTTTCTTCCTCCTCACATGTCTCCCCTCCACCCAGCAGAGAGAATGTGTGTGTTGCGAAAAGGCACCAAACACAGCCAATAGATTGTGGGGGTTCTGGGCACGATTCAGTCCTGAATTCCACTTTTGCTGACTCCTCCTGGGCCCGCCTGTGGCAGCTGGATGCAGTGCTAACACTGACCACTAGAGGGAACCAACCCCACCCTTTGCTCTCCCCTTTCCCTGAGCCTCGGGCGGGCGGTGCGGCGGCGGTGGAGGTGGGGGGGCTCCCCCAGGTCCCTGGGGATGAAGAATCCAGACTCATGGTATTGCCCCAGCTCCTTGGACCTGCAGCAGAGATACAAACCAAGAAACAGATATCCCGGGGACAGACATGGACCACAAGCGCTTCCTCCCCTAGACCTGAAACCATCAGAGAATCGAAAAGTTGGAAGAGCTCTGGAAGGTTTGAGTGTCTTTCCCAGCTTTGGAACTCAGAACACATCAGGCCGAAAGATGCCCTCTCCAGCCATGGAAGCCCCTCCTCTTTTTTCTCACCCTCCTTTCCAGAGCTGTATAGAGCTTATCCAGTTGCCAAGGGCCTGCCTGTGCATTCTCACGTCAGACCTGCCACTTGTCTTGTGAAGGAGGTGTTATTATCATCCCGTTTCACAGGTCAAGACACAGAGGCTGAGAGAAACTGATTGCATGAGCTACCTCAGCCAGAGCAGCAGATCTCCACCACCTTGCTCTTCCCACATTGTGTCATTCAAAGTCCTTTCTCCAGGCCGGGCACGGTGTCTCATGCCTGTAATCCCAGCACTTTGGGAGGCTGAGGTGGGTGGATCACTTACGGTCAGGAGTTCAAGACCAGACTGGCCACCATGGCAAAACTCCATCTCTCCTAAGAATACAAAAATTAGCTGGGTGTGGTGGCACGAGCCTGTAAAAGTGGGAGGCTGAGGCAGGAGACTCACTTGAACCCAGGAGGCAGAGGTTGCCGTGAGCCAAGATCGTGCCACTGCACTCCAGCCTGCGTGACAGAGCGAGCCTCCATCTCAAAAAAGATTAAAAAAAAAAAAAAGGTCCTTTCTCTAGAGCAGGTAGTGTGGTGCTACTCAGTTATTTAGTTATTTTAGTTTCTTCATTTTATTTTTATTTTTATTTTTATTTTTATTTTTGAGATGGAGTATCATTCTGTTGCACAGGCTGGAGTGCAGTAGCACAATCTTGCCTCATTGCAACCTCCACCTCCTGGGTTCAAGTGATTCTCCCTCCTCAGCCTCCCTAGTAGCTGGGATTACAGGCACCCACCACTATGCCAGGCTAAGTTTTGTACTTTTATAGTAGAGACGAGATTTCAGTATATTGGCCAGGCTGGTCTCGAACTCTTGAGTTTAGGTGATCCACCCTCCCTGGCTTCCCAAAATACTGAGATGGCGCGAGCCACCACTCCCAACCCAGTTATTTCAGCTTCTAAATCCCTCTAAGTGCAGGGATTCTGCCCACAACACAAGGGGCCTTTTGCCTCATTTTGTCTTTCCATAAAGGGCAAATTGTTCTTTCTCTATTCCCAGGTGAGAATGGCCCAGTGGCATGGGGTGCCTTGTAGAAACCTCACAGCAGGACAAGGCAAAGGCAGAGAAGGCCAGGACTGAGCCTCCTGTCTCCTGGTGCCCAGGGTTGGGGCTATTTCAATACCATCTGGAGGTCACAAGCATCAGATGCCCCCAGAGGTGAAAGCGGGAAAGAACATCCTCACGGGAACTGAAATCATCCCCCGCTGAGTTTAGGAGCATCTAGCACTTGATGCTGTAGAAACACAAGGAAGGAAACAAGGAAACACTTCTAGAAGTGGTTGGTTGTGGTGTTGGCAACCAGCAATGAAAACCCACAGCCCTGTTGCCCGGGATGTGAATACTGGGGCCCTGCCATCTCCCTCTTTCAGAGCAGAAGACAGACCTCCTTTTTCTGCTGTCATTCCTGAAGCATTACCCGACCAGCAGCCCAGACTCATCATCTGCTGGGAGGGCCCTGGGCTGTGGGCTGTTCTCCAGGCAGGGCTGCGGGAGGATCCAAGAGGGGTGTCATCAATGATACCAGTTCTGAGAAAGCTGGGGCCAAGGGAGGGTGGAGACACCACTTTCCCCATTCTCCTTCCAGCACCAGCAAAGAGGAGGAGCCAGGTGGGAATGGAGGAGAGTCCCTGAGCTCCAGGTAGTTTCTGCCTCCCCCACCATCCTTCCTCCAATGTCAACTGGGACGAACAGACAGCACCCCATGACGGGGCCTTTTAGCTAGTGCTGGGGACTTAGATGTGGGTTTTTGGCCATGGAAGAAGTCTCCAGCCTCCCTTAGGAATGAGGGTGGCAGGGGCCCTAACTGGGGATCACTCCAGAACTCCGTAGGTGGGCACAGGGCTGGTGAGTTTCCTCAGACAGGTTATTGCCAGGAACACGTGGGACCAGCTAGGGCAGGGAGTGTCTCCTCTCTCCACTTCTGTTGACCTCAGAGTTATGGTGACTCAGAGGAATCTAGGGACCCCTGGGGAAACACCTTTACAAAGCATTACCATGGCAACCATGGACCAGAGGGAAGAACTGAGGCCCACAGGTGTGGGTAGAAGTCGATGATCCTTTTCTCTAGTCTAGATCTTCCCAGGGCCTTGACCAATGGAGACCATGTCTATCATTCATTGCTAGTAGAAAATCAACTTTGAATTAGACTTGGGATTTTCCTGACAGTCGTGGGAAGTGGCTCACTGTTGGGGCATCACTTGGGGCCAGATCCCTGGCTCCTGCAGGCTGAGAGACTACCCAACAAGAGCCTCCGCATGGCCAGGCGGGAGAGACTGGGCTTCGCATCTCTGGCGTCTGCTTCAAAAGGCTCAGGATAGGCTGGGCGTGGTGGCTCATGCCTGTAATCCCAAGAGTTTGGGAGGCCGAGACAGGTGGATCACCTGAGGTAAGGAGTTTGAGACCAGCATCGCCATCATGGTGAAACCCATCTCTACTGAATATAGAAAAATTAGCCGGTCATGGTGACATACGTCTGTAATTCTAGCTATTGGAGAGGCTGAGGCATGAGAATTGCTTGAACCCAAGAGGCAGAGGTTGCCATGAGCCAAGATCATGCCTCTGCACTCCAGGTGGGGCAACAGAGTGAGACTGACTTTGTCTCCAAAAAAAAAAGAAAAAAGAAAAAAAAGGTAGAAAAATCCTAATCTCTGAGTTCACCATTATCTAGCTCCTTACCCACTGAGAAGCACAGATGGGAAGCAGGAGCCCCAGGGCCACCATGGCTCGAGCAGCATTATCATTTAGTCGGAATCCATAAGAACACCCTAGGTTTCATCTGGGACTCCCTGCCCATGGGGAAGATGGGAAAGAAGAGTTGTCTCAAAGCAGGGAGCTGCTAGTGCTCCCTTGGTAAGGAAAGCTGTTGGGTGGAGGGCACCGCATTTGGGTGAGGAGAGGGAGCAGGGTGTGAAGGTAGTGAGGGAGTGTGGTGCACCGAACTCAGCTCTTTGGGAAACTGTTTTTGCAGACAAGCCACGGTTAGAGGAATCCCGATGCTCTGGCAAACAGACCTGGCTGGAAGGGATGGAACACATGCTTGGCTGTGTCCCAAAGGGAAACCCAGCTCCAGCCTTGGTGTGTACCTGGAATGGGGTGGTCTTTGACCTTCAAGTGCCACAGAAGGCAACTCAGAACCACACCGGAGCCTACTGCTGCACAGCCACTAACCAGCTGGGCTCTGTCAGCAAAGACATTGCTGTCATTGTTCAAGGTAAACTTTGCTGCTCTGCTGCCGGGCGGAGGATGGAAATCCCTCAGGGGTTTGGGATTCTTATCCAAGGATGAAAATAAGAAAGATTCTACTAGGTTGGGAAGAATGAGACTCAGAAGTGGGCCTGGTGGGCTAGGGTGGGTGATTCTCGTACTTTCAGACCTTCCTAACTCTGTCTTCTGTGCTCGGACAGGACTGGATGAAGGAATCAGCTCTACCCTCTTTGTCGTTATTACCGTTGCCCTTGGAGTGGGTGTCATCACCATAACACTGTATTTGAGCTATCGGCCCTGCCAAGTGGACGGGAGGAAATTGCTCTATAGACAGAAAGAGGAGGACAAAGAGGAGAAAAGCCAGTTTACTGTTGAGGAAGAGAAAAGTACAACTCATATAATTGACAGCTATTTGATTGAATGAGACTTCTGCTACTGTGGTTTCCCAGGGAGGGGAAGAAGGATAGAGGAGAAAGGAAAGAAACAGAATGGCAGGCTGCATTTCCCTTTGTGTTCTTCTGCTCTGTCTAAAAACCCAGTGGCTCGAGCCCCATGTCCATGTCCTGTGTGTCCAGTATGTCCACAAGCTCACCTTTCCCCCTATCTCTCTCCCCTCCTTTTCTCTTTTGGAGATGGATCTCACTGTTGTCACCTAGGCTGAATTACCCCGTGATGCAATCTCGTCCTACAACTAGCAGCCTGCCTCTGAGTTCAGCCGTTCTCTGCCTCAGCTCCCAAATAGCTGAGATTGTGAGTCCACACCACCTGCCCAGCTACATTTTCTTTATGGTTCCCCTGCCCTTTGTCTTAAGCGTCATGCTAAAGACAGGCACATCTCTTAGAAATGCAACTCATATTTCATGGTTTCTGATTTCTAACTGGGAACTCAATTTGTAGTGTCCAGGAGACAGAACTTTTTGAAGGGTAAGTATCCATCTACGGGAGGACTCAGTCAGAGCTCTGTTCCCATCTCCACTTTCCTTGCTCCCTGACCTGGGCTTCTTCTGGAGTGCCAGCTCCCAGACTGAGCTGACATCATTAAGGATCAGTGGCAATTTCAACTCCGGTAACCATCTGTTGTGGGTCTTGGGGAGTATAAAGATCGTAAAAATTCCACTTTGGGCCAGACAAGCATCTATCAGCCCAGTGTTCTGTCTGTAGTACAGGGTGGGAGTTAACTGTGAAATTGGCGTCATGGGTTAGCACTCCCAAACATCTCTGAATTCCTTTTCTGAAGTAATGCTACAAGTTCACATTTGCCAGTTTTCTTTTAACCCATATGGGCGTCTAGGTTACAGTTCCAATGTTTACTCTCCCTTTTCATCAACAAGTGGATATTTTCATCTGTCTGCAAACAATTTCCCTGAAAAAACTGGAGAGAGGAGATCCTCTTGTGAAAATACTAAATACAATTTTATGATTCAGCTTCCTTCCCTGTCATGGGAAAAGAGTATATTCACCTTTTGTGAAAAATCATAAACCTTGGACTTTTCTTTAAATCAGTCCAGAAATGTTCACTGGAATATTTGCTATGGTAAAATAAAAGTGATTTTATGATATCACATATTAAAAATTTTTCATACCCTTCTGTGTCATTGCTGGAAGCTCTTATTATGTCAAACAGTTGCATTTTATAACTTTTTTTTTTTAGATGGAGTCTCACTCTGTTGCCCAGGCTGGAGTGCAGTCGCTGGGCCCAGGCTCGCCCAAACTCCTCCCGGAGTTCAAGGAGCTGCTCAGCCTCCAGAGTAGCTGGGATTACAGGTGCCCACCATCATGCCCAGCTAATTTTTGTGTTTAGTAAAAACAGCGTTTTCTCTTAGCCAGGCTGGTCTTGAAGTCCTGACCTCTGGATCTATGTCACCTTGGTCTTCTAAAGTGCTGGGATTACAGGTGTGTGAGCCACCGCTCCCAGCTGCATTTTATAACTACAGGACAATTTCCCAAGGAAAAGCACATGTGTTGCTTGCCCAAGCAGCCAGCCCAGGGCAGAGGTGCATTAACAAGGCAGCCTCTATTGTTCTTTGAAGCTAATTAAAGGCTTGGGGCGGTGGCTCACCCCACACCTGTAATCCCAGGTCTTTGAGAAGCTGAGGCAGGTGATCTTGGAAGGCCCCAAGTTGTAAATATCCTGGACAATATGGTGAAACCCCATTTCTACAAAAAATACAAAAACTTGGTGTACTATACTGGCACGTGCCTGTAGTCCCAGCTACTCGAATCTGCGGACTCAGAGAGTCTGAGGTGGGAGGATCACTTGAGTGCGGGAGGTGCAGGGTTTGCCCAGCTGGATACAGATCATTACTGCTCCAGCTGGGTGTTGCATGAGGCAGACCCTGTCTCAAACAAGACAAATGACTTAAAAGCAAAACTGAAGTTCAGACTTCCGATATTAGAGAAGTGCATTAGCCTTCAAATTACTGATATAACATGAAAAAAATCGTGGCATCAGACGCAGAGAGAAAACATTTTCCGTGCTTTCGGAACACTCCTCTGAGTCTGGTGTTATAGATTAAGAGTAAAATAACCCTTTGGTTTCACCACATAGAAAGCAGTGGGGATGCAGCGAGTGAACAAAACATTGTCCCTGGCTTCCACAAATTTATTAGGAGAGCTATTTAGACAAACAAGTGAGAGATTACATTTGTGCATGAACTCCCTATGACTGGGGAAGACAGTTGTTAGAGAAAGCATAACTCAGATCAAAGAAGGCTTCCTGGAGGGACATGAATTATCTTGACTTTAAATAATCATCCCATCATGACCACTGGCGCCTGAATCATTTCCACTGGGCCTTAGACCACTGCTCTCTCATCCTGTGAGTCTGATACTGTCACAGCCACCCAGATCGAGCATTTGGAAGTAAATAGAAAGCAGGTTTCAGAGGCCAAGTAGAGCCGCCTCAGGGGATCCACAGCTTGTTTAGTGTCAGGACAAGTCAGAACATCAGCCCCAGCATCTGCTGCCTCTGGCCTGCCTCATGGCCTCAGTGTCTTGAGAAGCACAGCAAATCAAAAGGAAGGAAAATAGACCAGAGGCGTGGTGGTGTGCACCTGTAATCCCAGCCACTGCTGAGAGTAGAGAGGCACAAGAAGGCCAACCCAGATCAGGCAAGATTACAAGTGACCAGAGAGAATCATGCATTCCCACTTCAACTGGTGGCACCAAGCAAGAACTCTGTTATATGGAAATGGCTGCTATATAAAAACAAACAAACACAAAACAAAACAAACAAAACCAAAAGAAGAGGGAGGAGGGAAGAAGGGGCCACTTGGACTTTCTAGTTCAGCCACAGGGAGAGCCTGGAGGCTTAGCCAGCTCCTGCCTTTGCTTCTCAGCCAGTGCAAAAGAGCCTCATTGAGATGGCAGTAAACAAAATTAGTCCTACGTGTTGCATGAAACTCAAGTGAATTCTACTGTGAATCCGGGTTCAACTGCTGTGGATCTGAGGGATGATCTCTCCCTAACCCCGGAGGCCTGGTCAGCTGCGCGTGTCCTCTCTTGCTTGGGTTTCCAGGGTTCAGTTCTTAGAGCTGAGTAGTTTGATGCTGCTGTCTGCATAGCGATTCTTCAGTGGGCTGGGTTAGCGGAAATTCCTGTAGACTCCCAGAAACTGTTTGCTTTCCTTCGAAGGATCCACACCACCAGGGTCGGGCGGCCCCTTCTCACTGATTCTTTCTTTCTTTCTTTTTTTTTTTTTTTGAGCATGGAGTCTCGCTCTGCCTCCCAGGCTGGAGTTCCAGTGGCATGATCTCGGCTCACTGCGACTTCCGCCTCCTCCTGGCTTCCAAGCAATTCTCTCTATCTCCACACCACCTCTGGAGTAACAGGATGAGTGTGTGCCTTTGTTTTTAGAAATAGGCATTACTGTGTGTTATTAAGCGAGACAGGGTGTGGTATGTTTAGCTCAGGCTGATCTCAAACTCCTGACCTCAGAAGGTGATCTGCCCCTCTCATTGCTGGATTTCAGGCTGAGCTTTGCATGCCCGGCTTCATTGATTCTTAAAGGGAAGGGTCACATCTCTCTTCCAGTATAATAGAAGCTTCAAATTGCTACCTTCATTGTGTTCTAGAGAGGCCCCCACCCCTAAATGGTTTGATCATGTTCTTTGGAGACATGACCCAAAAAGCTGCTGAAACTCAAGCCATAAATTGCAGCCTGTGATTATCTCAGAGGAAGAGTGGCACTAGCGTACTCAAGGAGTTATGGTCTTGGTATTATTTTGAGACAGAATCTTGTAGCCACCCAGCTGGAGTGCAGTGGCATGATCTGGCCTGGAGTACACTGCACTGCCTCCCAGGCTGGGTGATTCTCGCCTCAGTATGGCTGGGAATACAGGTGTGCACCACCACACCTGGCTAATTTTACATTTTTTGTAAAGATCGGGTGACATCATGTTGGCCAGGCTGAACCTGAACTTCTGACCCCCTCCCCACCTTGGCCTCCCAAAGTGCTGAGATTACAGGCATGAACCACCGTGCTTGGCCATTTATCTCTCAGAATGGTCAGGGTGACATTTTGGTGTCTTTCTCTCTAGACCTGAAAGCATGAAGTTATATCTTTAGTGGGACTTCTGCATAGGATTAATAATAGTATTTACCTTAGAAGATTATAATTAGAAAGAAATGACATAATACTTTTAATAAATTAGCATAGTGTTCTACATTTATTGGTTTATTATTACTGATATTGGTGGTCAGCATCTGTTCTGTCCACATAAGCTCAAGCAGGAATCGAAATCCGCTAACGTGGTAACCTTGAGGGCCATCAAAAGTCATAGACACCGTGCACAGCTTTCCGATTTTTCTAGTCTTTTTCTTGCTCCTTCCCCTACTTTCCCTGATTGAAATCTCTATGATTCCAGAGACTTCTGTGGGTGACCAGTCTATTAGCCAGAGTTCATTGAGGCGGTTTAACTGGAAGAGAGGCGCAGAGTAAGACTTCAAATATTAAACGTGTGTAAAATCTCTGAAAACAGGACATTTCAAGTTAAGCAACTATAATAGCAGTCCACACTTCATCATGCACTCTCAAGCACTCCAGGGCTTTAGTTAAACAGCAGCCAGGCAAAGTGTCAACAATGTCTTGGCCTAGAAGCAGAGCCTGATAATTCAGAAGAAAAGGAAGAGGTCAGTTCTGCTCTGAACTACCTATGAGACAAAACCCCCATGTGTATTTCAACAATGCTCTTGGAAGAAATGCAGAAGTGGTCATTCCAGGTTAGGGTAAATTCAAAAATGACAAGTCAGGAAAACATTATCAGAGTCAAGGGATGACTCGAGCTCTGCCTACAGACTCTTCCTTGTGTGCCAGTCTTGGCCAATCTTGTATCTTCCAGGAAGTTTGAATTAAAAAATAGTAGAGAATGACAGGTGGCTCACACATGTAGTCCTGTAACTGTTTGGGAGGCCAAGGCCGGTGGTCCGTGTTGAGGCCAGGTTTAGAGCCAGCCT